TGTATCTGATATAATTGATGCGATATTAAGTTCGAAATCTACGTCATCCTCTAATATCAAAGCGCTATCGTATCCATTATTAATTATTGATTGGTAGACTTTATAATGGCTAAGATAGCAAGCAACTTGAGATGGGTTTAAATAAGAGTCTTCTCGATCAAGTTCTTTGAGCGCATTTTCATCGTCTCGAGAAACAGCAGGGAAAAATTCGAATTTTAAATTAAGCTTTTTCGCTAAAATTTCTAATCTTTCGCGTCTATCTCGCCGATTTATAAGATTAATAACGTAAATGTGACTAAAGCCGAGAGTACTATTTAATTCATAATTAAGCCCGAGAGAATGTAAAGTGGAATTCTTTAAAGAGTACAAGTCTAATGTATTTCTTCCTGGATAGAGATTTGTTGGTTCATCAGAAATATGGCATCTCGATATAACCGGTGGTATAATAGTATATGAAGTAATTTCATTTGCAGTAATCATATTAGTTAATTGAAGATCGATTGGAGCCGTTAAGTTAACAAGTTTTTTCAATAGTTTTAAAGCACCACGATGTGAAACAGCGTAAGCATGTGTGCAATATGGCCTATTAGATATAAAAAGTTTATAAATAGAATGTCCATGGTTGTAATCTGGCAAAGGTTCACCTGAGTTCCCTTCCCAATTGCTGCAATGACCAAGATATAGAATTTCCCAATTAGTTGGTAATATGCGATGGACATCTGTCATAATTGACTTGATGTTGAATTCAAAATCTATATCATCATCTAAAATTAATGCGCTTCTATAATTATGATCCACAATTGATTGATAAATAGCATGATTAATATAAGCTCTTTGTAATGGTTGCGATTCATTATCAAATTGGGAAATGGTTGGAAAGAATTCGAATGTTAAATTTAATTCATTTTCCATTAATTTTAATTTTTCATATTTTCCTGGCCGACCTGAAACATTTGTAATGTAAATATGGTCAAAGCCAAGGGTCGTGTCTAAATTTTTATAAAAAGAAGACTTATTAAACAAATTCAAAAGTGGTTGTTGCGAATATAAGTACCAAAGACCAACATATGTAAATGCTGCTAAAATAATAATTAGAGTTAAGTTTATGATTTTGTTATTTAAGCGTCGCATCGTAGTAAATGTGTATTATTTGTAAATATTAAATATTTCTTTGGAATTTTTAGGGAGTTTAAAAATTATTCTGCATCAATTATAAATTAATGTCGCTGACAAAACAGAAACTTTCGTTAGAAAACTTAGCCTTCTTAAAAGAATTGTTTTTAATTTTAACAAGTTACGTTTATTTGTAACTAACTTACTTAGTACAACTAGAGATGGGAAAATGCACATTTTATATAACATGCGCATGAATGCGCATTAATGCATGTTATATAATTTGTCCCTCATTGATGGGTGTTACAGATGAAAAACAAATGGAAAACAAATGGAAAACAATTATTGGTTATCTGTCCCTTCCGCTTCGTGTGCTATAGTGTACATACTAACAATGCAGACTTCGAAAGTATCGTATAAACAACCTATTCTGCTGTTTACTACCTATGTTACTATGGTGGTAATATCGACGGGCGGGGCAAAAAAAACCCACCGCAACCGAAATCTTTTGTGGGACACTTGAAGAACAGTTAACTCAGTGATCGACATAAACAATCATGACATCATCTGTTTACCAGAATTAAACAGGCTGGCCTAAACTATAACTCTAAACTAACCCTAACTCAAATGATTGTTATGCGATATTATGATGATCATTGAGTTAACTGTTCTTCAATCTACCCCACTTCTACAACCAAAAACATTCAAAATGCGACTGTCGTCCCGACAGGCCACTTGTTACAAAACTCGAAACGTGACTGTCGTCCCGACAGGCCATGATTACGCTAAGCAACGACTATCGATTTGACAAGCTCCAACGGATGCTTGCTAGGGTTTGGCAGGGGGGACGAAAAAACCAGACAAAGTCGGGTTAGCAGAAAAAACAGAACTTACGTTTCGTGGGAAAAAACCCGTTCCCCTTAAAATACTAACGATTACTAATCGCAAAAATTACGTCATTTCGTCCTAACATCATACAATGGATCAAACGAATCATGCAATAAATCATAACAATGCAAGAGACTACAAAATCATACGATACGACATTTGACACATCAATTCATAAATCATGACCCCGCATTACCCGACAATTATCGCTGTTTTCAAAATCCTGTGTTCCTACACAATTGACACCTAACAATGGAATTGATTGCAGAATCAATTTTCATACCCCTGCATATCAATAATTATTATAAATTTTGGAAATGCAGGGGTATGAAAATCGATTCTGCAACAGGGCTAAAACGACATATAGTAAATGCCGGCCATCCAAAATGTCGTTTTTGATCTATATAAATTGAAGTAATATATTAACAAAACCAATAACATTGAATAGCTAATAGAATATTCTTATTTTACTATTGTTCTTTGATCCCAATAATTATGCATCAAGACCGACACTTTGAATGGCCGGCATTTACTATATGTCGTTTTAGCCCTGTTCTGCAATCGATTCCATAGTTAATTGTTAATCGTGTAGGGACACAGAATTTTGAAAACAGCGATAATATAGCCATGACCGATTCGGGACAAAATGCTGCTCCGATTCTTACGTATCGGGCAGCTAAAAATGCGCATGATATCACATGATAAAATTTTTTTATTTTATATTTTCCCTTTGGAAAATATCATTTATTGGATCTAATTTTTACCCGACCCTTCTCGTCTTTCATGCTCATTCATTTTATTTTCGGAATTTTTCGGAACTTTTGCGTTCCTGTTTCTTATTCCGCCCGGCATTATACTCTCGGACTAACTTATATATACTTACTTTCCCTATATAAAATTTAGATGGATCATGCGCATGAAACCCATCTCTAAGTACAACCAATTAAAATAACTAAAAATTCGTGTAATCCAAACCTTAACTATGGTTGCTACGTGTAACATGTAACCGTAGATGTTACACGACTGATCCTTCACCCGGTGTGATTATAATAAAAATGGTGTAGGATTATAATCATAACATGTACTAGCGGAATAATCTGGTATTGTAAAATAATTTTTTTATATGCTGCACACCGGGTGAAGGATCAGTCGTGTAACATCGACGGCGCCTCTGTTGTAACATGTACAAATACATTTATTCGTTTGATTTTATTATTATATAGTTAAAAAAAAATTGATGCACATAGCGCCACACGAAACTGATGTACGCAAATAATTACTCAAAATTTAGGGAGATTATAGATTAGAATTTAGAATAATGATGGATAACGAAATATTCGTCATTGATGTATAACGAAATATTCGTAAGGCAACTTCAAGTTGACGAAATGACGAATGATGAAATTCATGAATGATGAAACTCATGACGAATACAAAACCTATGATGAATGAGAATTTATATGTAATACGTATATAGTATTTGGACGTAATTAACGTTAATCCAGTTGATAGCATTTAGTGTTTAGACCACGTTGAACCGGTGTTACGTAACACTAGTGTGAATCGGCGCTAGACTTTTTTAGGAGGTTGGTTTCCTAATATAGTTGTCAATACGTACTACTGTATGAATTAATTACTACGTACGGTTCAAGAAATCTAAAAACCTTCAGCAAATTGGAGATAAGCTAAATTAAGTAGCGGCTTATTTTAAGTTTCAGCCGTATGCATAAAACAGCTCCAATTAAATGTATATTATATTTGACGTATTATTTCTATGCCCATCGCTTTATTGAGATTGATATTTTAGGAAATTTATTTTCTAATCTTAACATGGAGATTGAGGTTTTTAAATTTCCTGCACCGTACGTACGTACGTATGTCGTGACTGAAGTTGGGATCTGACTAAAGTTGGAGCTTTGGCACCTGCCTAAAACAGCTAACTAATGCGTGCAGGATGATCTAATTTCAGGGGCTAATTTCAGTCAGCTCCAACTTCAGTCAACTGAAGTTCCAACTTTAGTCGGATCCCAACTTTAGTCACGACATTAACACCAACAACACCTATGGTGCATTTTAAAATTTCTGTTATGAAATACGTATACACTGTATAAACTTATGTAATATTGTGATAACCTTAATTGGTATGACCCTTTTTATATACAGAATAGTGTTGATAAACAGTTTTTCATTGGTAATTGTCGAATTCTCAAAAAAAAAAAAAAAAGAAAAGAAAAGAAACTATAACCGGAGGTCTATATGTCCCTCTTTATATAGACTATTAATCTACAAATAAGCTACGTATACACATGTAGCATAACAATATAAAGTCTAATTAAAGTATGCTTCATGACCATAAACTTCGCATAGACTATTATAAAGTTACACGAATAAAAAGTTTAACTATTATACTTTGTTACGTCTTTTTGCGTAACACAACGCACGTGAAACGAATCAGTGCTGATTTTTTTTATTGATTTATCATTTACCGTATAAATCCGAAATAACGCCCACCTGCGCGTTAATTAATTGACCTGCGCGTTATTTCGAGTACGCCCATGTGCGTTATTTCGAAATATAGGTTAAAAATAAATAACTTAATTTTAATAAA